ATTACATATATCTCTCACTGGATTGTTATATGCCTGGCACATGATTAATATGTTTTCACTGCAGTTTTTCCCCAAGTTTGGGTCATACTTTACTGTTTTATCATGTCTTACAATTTTTTGTTGAAAACTGGCCATTTTAGATAATATTGTAGCCACTCTGGATTCATGGTTTTTCTCCCCTCAAAGGTTGTTTAGTAGTAACTTCCATAGGCAGAAAAAAATCTATGGAATTTAATCTCCCTGCAGTATGCAACCACTGATGTCGCTACTTAATTATTATTTTTTGTTTTTAAATATTTTTGCTTTTATTTTTAAGCCTGGCTTACTAAAGCATACCTCCCTATATATTTGCATAGCCTAGTGGTCAGCTAATGATTGGACCAATGATGAGCCCAAACACCTCTAACACAGACCTCAGCTGTAAAACTTTTAAATTAGTAAATTCACTTCTAAGAAACTGTCTTAAGGAAAGAATCAGAAATGTAGACTGAAATTTATGTGTTTATTTCATTTGAGTTGATGTTAGTAATTATGAAACAGTTTATTTTCCAGCTAGTCAGTGATCATATAAATTATGAGACATTTATATTGAAATATTGAAACATTTATATTGAAATGTTACATGACCATTAAAAATTATATTCTGTAAAATTTTGACAAAAAGATACTCCTATAATATTAGAGGATATTTCCTTTCTCCAGGGCAAAATCTGTTTTGCCTGTTTTCTGTATAGATTATTTTTGTCCCTGATGAAGTTTTTTTAATGCTGTCATTAAATATGTATTATTTTGTGTCTGCCATTGTTTAGTATGTCTGTGGGATTATTTCATGTTTGTTTATGATAGGAGTACTTGTTCGTTTCTGATGCTAATTAGTATTCACTTACATGAAAACACCACAGTATTCATCTTTCTCTTTTGGGGCATTTTTGTTGTTTCCAGTTTGGAACTGGAAACAGCCTTATTGTGAATAAGGCTGTCAGGAACATTTTTGTAAAAATACATTGTGAACGTGTTTACATTTCTCTTGGATAAAAATGTAGAAGTGAAATCACTGAGTCAAAGAGTTTGGTGTATAATTATTAGAAATTACCCTATTTTATCAAAAAACATACATCTGTAACAGCATATGAGACTTTATTCTCCATCATTGTTACTATTTAAATTTGTCATTCTTTTTAATTTTTGCCATTTTAGGAGGTGTGAATTGGCATACCTTTGGGGTTTTAACTTAAAATTCTTATAAATAATATTAAGTATCATTTTCTATGCTATCACCAGTCATCTAATTTTTATGAAATATTTTCTTATATCTCTGCCCGTTTTTTCTGTTGGCTTGTACTTATTGTGTCGTGGGACTTTATATATTTTACATACAAGGTCTTTGTGATATGTGCGTTTTGTGAATATTCTACCGGTTTGCTGCTTGCCTTCTTATTTTCCTAATGATGTCTTTTGGTAAATGGCAAGTTTTTAATTTTTATGAAGTCCAGTTTGTCCAGTTTTTTTCTTTATGGTTATTCTTTAAACAAGACTGTGTCATTTGCAAAGAGATAAGTTTCACTTTTTTTTCTTTTTAATATGGATTTCTTTTATTTTTCTTGCCTAACTGCCTGCTTAGAACTTCCAGTAAAATGTTGAATAGCAGTGGTGAGAGGGGCCATCTTTGTCTTGTTCCTGATACTAGAGGGACAGCATTCAGCCTTTTACTATGTATGACAGGTCCTGTGGGTTTTTTATAAATACCTTTTTATTATGTTGAGGAAGTTCTTGTTTGTTTTTCGTTTGTTGATTATTTTTAATATGAAAGGGTGTTGGATTTGATCAGATGCTTTTTCTGCATTAATTGAGATGATCATGTGGATTTTTTTGTTTTGTTTTGTTTTTGAGACAGGCTCTCACTGTCGCCCATGCTGGAGTGCCGTGATGTGATAATTGACTTACTGTAGCCTCAACCTCCCGGGCTCCAGTGATCCTTCCACCTCAGCCTCCCAGGTAGCTGGGACTACAGGCATGTGCCACTATGCCCAGCTAATTTTTGTATTTTTTATAGAGACGGGGTTTCACCATGTTGCCCGGGCTGGTCTTGAACTCCTGGGCTCAAGCCATCCACCTGCCTTGGCCTCCCAAAATCCTGGGATTATAGGCGTGAGCCACTGTGCCCAGCCTGCTTTGAAACCAGGCACTGACTTCTCATAGCTGTGAAAGTCCTAGATGGCATCTGTTTCCAACAGAAAGCTGTTTCGTCTACTTAGAAAATCTGTTGTTTTAGTATAGCCACCTTCATCAGTGGTCATAGTTAGATCTTCTGGATAACTTGCCTCCTCTTTTATATCAGCACCTGCTGCTTCACCTCACCTTGCACATCTATATTATGGAGACAGCTTCTTTCCTTAAACCTCATGAACCAAACAATGCTAGCTTCAAATTTTTCTTGCGCAACTTCTTCACCTCTGGATTAGCTTTGGTTTATGTGAATGCTGTGGCTGGTTTGATCTTATAGCCAGACTACTAAAACTTTCTCCATATCTGGTAGAGATGGGGTTTCACCATGTTGGCCAGGCTGGTCTCAAACTCCTGACCTCAGGTGATCCACCTGTCTTGGCCTCCCAAAGTGCTGGGATTACAAATGTGAGCCACTGTGCATGGTGGCACTTTTAATTTCCTTCAATAACTTTTCCTTTGCATTATAACTTGGCCAATTGGCACAAGAGGCTTAGCTTTTGGCCTGTCTCAACTTTCAACATGCCTTCCTCACTAAGCTGAATTATTTCTAGCTTTTGATTTAAAGTGATAGATGTTTGACTCTTCCTTCCTCTACATTCCTCTACAATGTAGAGACATTGTAGGGCATAATTGGCCTAATTTTAAAATTGTCGTGTCTCAGAATAGGGAGGTCTAAGGAGAGGGAGAGAGTTGGGGAATGAATGAATGGTCAGTGGAGCAGTCACTATACATGTACTCAACATTTATTTATTAAGTTCACCATCTTATGCAGTTTGTGTCACCCCAAAACAATTACAAAAGTAACACCAAAGATCACTCATCATAGATCACTATAACAGATACAATAATAATGAAAGAGTTTGAATTGTTGCAGAAATTACCAAAATGTGACACTGAGACATGAAGTGAGCCCATGCCAAGACGTGTATGCAGGGTGGCTACAAACCTTCAGTTCATAAAAAACGCGGTATCTGTGAAGTATATTTAAACAAAGTATGCCTGTACTCATATGATTTCATTCCTTTTAAATGTATTAAGGTTTGTTTTGTGGCCTAACATATTTACTATTCTGAAGAATGTTCCATGTGTAAGTTGAGGAGAGTATTCTGCTGTTAGCGTTGTATATAATGTTAGATCTAGAGAGTTATTCAGGTCTTCTTTTTTCATGTTGATCTTTTGTCTAATTCTCTCTGCTACTGAAAGTGAGTTATTGAAGTTCTTCAACTTTTTTTCATTTCATTTGTGATAGTTTTTCCTCATATTTTGGAGTTCTATTATGTGTATACATATTTATAATTTCTTTTGTTTTCTTTCTGAGATGGAGTCTCGCTCTGTCGCCCAGGCTGGAGGGCAGTGGCTTGATCTCTGCAGCCTCTACCTCCCAGGTTCAAGCGATTCTCCTGCCTCACCCTCCCAAGTAGCTGGGACTACAGGCGCACACCACCACGCCCAGCTAATTTTTTTGTATTTTTAGTAGAGATAGGGTTTCACCATGTTGGCCAAAATGGTCTCAATCTCCTGACCTCGTGATCCACCCGCCTCGGCCTCCCAAAGTGCTTGGATTACAGGCATGAGCCACCACCCAGCCTATGTTTATAATTTCTAAGTGCTGCTTATTACATCAGAAATTGTAATGTGTTATTATGTTATATCTTGTTTATATTTTCAGTTCAGAATATTTTGTGTATCCCTTGTGATTTATTTTTGATTCATTATTTATGTATTTTCAAATTTCCAAGTACTTAGTACTTTTAAAAGATTTTAAAAATTGATTTATAATTTGATTTATAATTGTGGTTAAATGCATACTCTGTATGCATTTATCCTTGAAATTCATGGAATCTTGTTTTATGGCTCAACATACTTTGTTAGCATTCTGTGTACAATTGAAAAGTATGTGTTTTCTTTATCTGTTTTTTGAGTGGTCAGTTTCATAAATTGATAAGGGCTTGACTGCTTTAGCCCTTTCAGACTTATTAAGTACATCTTTTACAACCTACTTATGGAATGGGCAAAAACTCCATACTTCAGCTTTATTTTTCAAATACTCATCTTTCTTTCTAGTGAATACCAGTTTGTTATTTTTGAGTTCAAAGGATCTTTCTCCTAAGCTTTCCCAGAACCTCTTCACAGTCTCCATACAGAATGATCTAGCATTTTATGTGTACAACAGTTAGGTAAATATACTTACCTGCTGTATTTTTTTTGCATTTTGTGGGCAGAGAGATTATCATTTTCTTCCTTTTTTTCCTACTCTGACATTACAGTGTTTAAATTTTAATGAGCTGAACCTCTTAAGACTGAGTTACTTTATATGTCTTTAGTCTTTTAATATCTACTTTCCTCAATATGTTGTATCATAATCTTTATGATTTCCATTTAATGATTGTGGGTTTAAGTTAGGTTCACCCTTAGATATTTTTTTAAAGACTCCCATAAAAAAATTACAGAAATTGATTAAAAACAACTTTAAAAAATTTTCCCATGTATCAATTTTAAAAATTGCTACAGTAATTTTCCTTTTCTGGGGAGTTCTGTTTTGAATAACAAAAGAATTCAGAGGGAAAAAAGCATTATTTATTTCATTTGGGTATTGCAGTTTATAACCCAGCATCATTTGGTTTTAGAAAAAAATAGTTACTGGGAAAGATATTTTGGGACTCCTCTGGTGAATCCTTTGAGTTTGGGAGTGTCTTAGTTCAGTTTGGGCTGCTATAACAAAAATACCGTAAACTTGGTGGGTGGGTTATAAACAACAAATTTATTTCTCTCAGTTACAGACAATGAGATGTCGAAGATCAAGGTGCAGGCAGATTTGATGTCTGGTAAGGGCCTGCTTCCTCATAGATCACTGTCTTCTTACTGTAATATTATAGTGGAAGGGGCTAGGCATCTGTCTCTCTGGGGCCTCTTTTATAGGGGCACTAACTTAGTTCATTCGGGCTCTGCCCTCATGACCTTATCACCTCACAACGGCCTCACCTCCAAACACCATCACATTAGGGATTAGGTATTAACATGAATTTTGGTGGGGCGGGCGTGGGGAACACAAACATTTGAGGTAGATACACACACACACACACACACACACACACACACACACACACACACACAGTTTCTCCTTTTTTTTTCCCCCCTTTTAAGATGGAGTTTTGCTCTTGTCGCCTAGGCTGGAGTGCTGTGGCGCAATCTCTCCTCACTGCAACCTCCGCCTCCCGGGTTCAAGCAGTTCTCCTGCCTCAGCCTTTGGAGTAGCTGGGATTACAGGCGTCCGCCACCACACCCACCTATTTTTTGTATTTTTAATAGAGACAGGGTTTCTCCATGCTGGCCGGGCTAGTCTCGAACTCCTGACTTCAGGTGAACCACCTGCCTTGGTCTCCCAAAGTGCTGGGGTTACAGGTGTGAGCCACCATGCCCAGCCTGTAGTTTCTATTTTTAAAAAAGTTTCTCTTTTTTTCTGTGATTGTTTTGTTGAGTTAATAAAAACAATTTCTGAGATTCTAATCTCTGCCAGGAATTTCTGTACCTTTAGATTTTAGAGTGCTTAATTGGAGTTAGTGTGTTCTGTGAATGTATTCACTGTGGTGAATAGTTTTATTGTCCTTTGCACATTATAGCCTTTCCTAATCCTTTTTTCATTTTGAGCCTCAGGATGGTAAGGTAAATATATTTTTTAAACATTTGATGAAACCTAACTGACTACAGATTAGCCATGATTGGAGTAGGATTAATATTCATATCTCTTAATTCTTCATTTAGTATTCTTTGTATTCTGTTTCACAGATTCTAATTCAGTTATGTCTTTAATTCTAAGTGTTGGGACAATTTTGCCAGCAATTAATTGTCTTACCTATAAAACGAGAGAGTTTGAATAAATAGCCTTATGTTTTCTTTCTGATGTGAATCGTTTTAAAAGTATCATTAAATGTGGTAAGATAGGACTCTCTCAAAATGATCCAAGTTCTGTTGTTACACTTATGTGATTGTCGATTATTAGACTTGTGCTCATGGAATTCATTCATTCATTGGCTGACATTACTTTTCCACTACCTGGTGAGTTCCAGAAAAGCAAAACCCTTCCTTATCTTGTTTACTATTTACTCAATGCTTACCTGGCCCAGTGCCTTGAATGTGACTAAGTATGCAATAAATATTTGTCGAACCAATGATTAAACAAATAGTAACATTGGCAGGCAGTATAGTATTATGTAAAGAGCATGCGGCCGGGTGCGGTGGCTCAAGCCTGTAATCCCAGCACTTTGGGAGGCCGAGACGGGCGGATCACGAGGTCAGGAGATCGAGACCATCCTGGCTAACACGGTGAAACCCCGTCTCTACTGAAAATACAAAAAACTAGCCAGGCAAGGTGGCGGGCGCCTGTAGTCCCAGCTACTCAGGAGGCTGAGGCAGGAGAATGGCAGGAACCCGGGAGGCGGAGCTTGCAGTGAGCTGAGATCCGGCCACTGCACTCCAGCCTGGGCGACAGAGCTAGACTCCGTCTCAAAAAAAAAAAAAAAAAACAAGAGCATGCACACTCTTTGGTGTTACCCTTACTTTAGATCATCTATAGGATATGTTATAGTATTTCGGAGGTTGTTGGGAAAGTTACTCGGGATAATATAAATAAAGTATAAAGCATAATGCCTTTTACTTAAAATGTTAGTTTCTTACTGCAATCTCCTAGAGTCTAGGACTTTTGTTTTTTTAGCCAAGATATTTTTATCATATAAGCTGGTCACATTTGGGTAGAGAAGGTTGAAGTTATTAACTTTTAATGTTTTTATTACATTTATTATTTTTATCTTACAGTTTTACATGTGGCACCCATAAAAGATGAGGCTGAGAACACGGAAGGCTTCTCAGCAGTCAAATCAAATCCAAACACAACGCACTGCCAGAGCAAAGAGGAAATATTCAGAGGTTGATGATAGCCTGCCTTCAGGAGGAGAAAAACCATCGAAGAATGAAACCGGCTTGTTGTCTTCAATTAAAAAATTTATTAAAGGAAGCACACCTAAGGTAATGATTTTACCATATACTTTCATATCATTAAAAGTGAAAATTATGATATTTTCTCTAAGCATGCATAGAGAAGAAATCTGATAGTGCACCAAAATCTACGTTTTGGTGTTAATTTTACTTCTAAGAGTTTTACGTGCAGAATATTTAATGGCAGTTTAAGAGGAACATTATTTGTTCTGCTGAACTAATCCACTTAGCCTTCTGCTTTTTCAACATAGTATTATGGGTAGCAAAATAAATTTTTCCTTGCTCTTTTACTTGAGTTGTTTCTTTTACTTTCATTTTCTTTCAAAGAAAAGTTAAAGTTTCTTGTTAATATTCACTGTCTAGGGAGGTGATGTCTCTCATCTGTTCGAGTTCTAACATTTGTGTGATGAAGATGTATTGCTTCATTAAAGAGAAAAGAACATTACTAAAAGAGAGAATGGACACTGACGGGGAGTTTTGTACTCCAGATTCATATTCTGGACCAACTTGAGTGACCTAAAGAGAGAGTTATTTACCCCTTGAGCCTCAGGAAGATAGTAAAATGGCACTGATACCAACTGCTTTGTCTGTCTCAGAGTTGTTTTCAGATTAGATGGTACAACAGGTAGAAAAGCAGTTTGATCAACTTTATTTTATTTTGTTTTTATTTATTTATTTATTTTGAGACAGAGTCTTGCTCTGTCTCCAGGCTGGAGTGCAGTAGCGCGATCTCCGCTCACTGCAACCTCCACCTCCTGGGTTCAAGTGATTCTCCTGCCTCAGCCTCCTGAATAGCTGGGACAACAGGCGCGTGCCACCACACCAGCTAATTTTTATATTTTTAGTAGAGATGGGGTTTCACCATGTTGGCCAGGATAGTCTCGATCTCCGGACCTTGTAATTCATCCGCCTTGGCCTCCCAAAGTGCTGGGATTACAGGCATGATCTACCGTGCCTGGCCTCAGTTTGATCAATTTTAATGCACTCTATCAATGTATAGTATTATTGATTGTGTGTAGATTTTTTTTTATGACTTTTACTATTTTTGTGTTCTTTCTTAGAATAATTATTTACATGGTAAATTTTTTATTATAATGGAAGTTTATTACTTTCTTAAGCAGAAAAATAAATTACTAGTTGACTTGTTCATAGGAATAGATTTTGTTGGTATAGAATTAACAAAGCCTAATTACTATGAGTCGCTAGGCAAGATTTGGAAGTATTCTTGGTTTGCATAGGGTTTTAATTTTTGTTTTGGTGGTTTTATTTTTTGTTTTTGTTTGTTTCTAATACTAATTTCTTTGTTAATTTTAAGTAATTAGAAATTTAAGTAATTACTTAAAAAGTAATTTTAAGTAATTAGAAATTAGAAAATAATTTTAAGTAATTAGAAATTTAAGTAATTAGAAATTTTAAAAAGTTTCTGAATTTATGTAAACTGAGAAAATATTCTAGTATTATCATATAACAAAGATGAAGTAGCTTCCAGAAACCCAAATTTCCATCTCTATGAATTCCTAATGGGTTGTCATCAGCCTCTGTTGATGGGAACCTTGCTACATATTATTACTTCATTCTTCTGAGCAGCTCTAGTTGTCATAAAGTGCCTCCTTATGTTTTTGCTTTCTCATGTTACTTTTTTGTATTTTTTCCACTCGAAAACAGATACTGTGTTCCCTTACGTGTGCAAGTACAAACCTTCAGTCAGTATGGGGCAGCTATTTCTAGTTTTCCTTATATGACATTATATGATATTTATCATCATCTTGGTCACCTTTATCTGTTATTCATGAAAGATAAAAACCAGAAGCGAAGATAGGTTTTTGTTATGTCTTCAGAATTCTATTCATATTTATAGTTGACCCTTCAACAGTGTGGATTTTAGGGATGCTGACCCTCCCATGTGGTTGAAAATTCACATATAACTTTTGACTCTCCAAAAACTTAACACTAATAACCTCCTGTTGACCAGAGGTTTACCAATAACATAAACAGTCATTCAACACATATTTTTTATGTTATGTGTATTCTATACTGTATTCTATTTTTTTAGATAGGATCTTACTCTATTGCCCAGGCTGGAGTGCAGTAATACTATCATAGCTCACTGCAGCCTTGAACTCCTGAGCTCAGTTGATCCTCCCATCTCAGCTTCTTGAGTAGCTAGGACTACAGGCATGTACCACCATGCCCAGTTATTTTTAAAATTTCTCTCCCTTTTTTTTTTTTTTAAAGAGACTAGGTCACATTTATCTTGCCCAGGCTGGTCTTGAACTCCTGACTTCAAAGCAGTCATCCTAGCTTGGCCTGCCAAAGTGTTGGTATTACAGGTGTGAGCCATCTCACCTGGCTTTATACTGTATTCTTACAATAAAGTAAGCTAGAAAAAAAGAAAATGTTATTAAGAAAATCATAAGGAAGAGAAAATACGTTTACTGTTTAAGTGGAAGTAGATCATTATAAAGGTCTTCATCCTGATTATCTTCTGGGCTGAGGAAGAGGAGGAGTTGGTCTTTCTGCTGCAGAGGTGGCAGAAAATTTGTGTATTAATGGACCAATACAATTCAAACCCAGCTTGTTCAAGGATCAGCATACTTCTTCTGACAGTGAATTGTTTCTTTCACTCCCATTGCCCAGGCTAGAGTGCAATTGTGCAGTCACAGGTCACTGCAGCCTCGACTTCCCGACTCAGGTGATGCTCCCATTTCAGCGTCCCAAGTTGCTGGAACTACAGGCTTTTGCCACTATGTCTGGCTAATTCCTTGTATTTTTTAGTAGAGGCAAGGCTTCACCATGTTGTCCAGGCTGGTCACAAACTCCTGGTCTCGAGCTGTTTGCCCGCCTTAACCTCTCAAAGTGTGAGCCACTACGCCTGGCTGGATTGTTTCTGTTAATGTGATTTTATGTTAAATTATACTTTGTCTCCTTCTTTAGTAGCTTAATCTCTGTTGGTCAGCAAATTTTGGCTCATGTCAACTAGAATAGCAGTCTCCAGTCGTTTTGGCACCAGCAGCTGGTTTCAGGGAAGACAGTTTTTCCAGGGACCAGGTCAGCCGGGGTGGGGTTTGGTTAATGGTTTTGGGATGAAATTAATCCACATCAGATCATCAGGCATTAGATTCTCATAAGGAGCACACAATGTAGATCCCACAATTCACACTAGAGTTCGTGCTCCTATGAGAATTTGCTACTGCTGATCTGACAGGAGATAGGGCTTAGGCAATAGTGCCTGCTGGCTCACTGCTCACCTCCTTCTCTGTGGCCTCGTTCCTAACAGGCCATGAATTGGTACCATTCCATGGCCCAGGGGCTGGGAACCCTTGAACTAGAACACTCAGGACTTTTTTTTGAGACAGGTCTCAAAAAAATAAAAAAATAAAAAAAAGGTCTCCAGTCTTGCCCAAGTTAGAGTGCAGTGGCATGATCTCAGCTCACTGCAACCTTTGCCTTTCGGGTTCAAGCAATCCTCTTTTCTCAGCCTCCCAAGTAGTGCATGCCACCGTGCCCAGCTAATTTTTGTATTTTTGTAGAGATGGAGTTTCACCATGTTGCCCAGGCTGGTCTTGAACTCCTAGCCTCAAGTGATCTGCCCGCTTCAGCCTGCCAAAGTACTGGGATTACAGGCGTGAGCCATTGTACCCAGCCACTCAGGAGGATTTTTCTATAGAAATTTTAGTCCAAGTTTCTTTTTTTGTTTTAACTAAATCTAAGATCTTTCATTAATGCCTCATTACTCAAAGATGTTACATTAAGATATGCAGTGGCACAATATCGGCTCACTGCAACCTCCACCTCTCGGGTTCGAGTGATTATCGTGCCTCAGCCTCCCGAGTAGCTGGGACTACAGGCGCCTGCCACCATACCTGGCTGATTCTTATATTTTTAGTAGAGACGGGGTTTTGCCATGTTGGCCAGGCAGGTCTTGAACTCCTGACCACAAGTGATCTCCTCACCTCGGCCTCCCAAAGTGCTGGAATTACAGACATGAGCCACTGTACTGGACTGTCTTATTTATTAATTACGTTTTTGGGTAGGGTTTTTCATACAGCTACAAATTCACTTTATTGTGCTGTAACTGAACTCAGATTTTAAAAATCGTATTCTATAAGATTATTATTGAAATTAATATTTGAATGCTTTACTGAAATCAGAGTGAAACCACAGTTGTCTTTTCCCAGACAACTAATCCTGTATTAGGAGTAAATAATAAGGTTAATTTGTCACATATTAGTCTTAATGAGCTTATATGGCTTTTAATTATTGTTGCTTTCTTGTCTACAATGTCGTCAACCACATTCTTAATCACATATTCTAAAATTGTGTGGAGCATCTAGACAATGCTTGCTTATGTATGTATCTTAAATACAGCGTCATTGTCTTTTTCAAAATTTGGGTAGCAGTTCACAGCTAAAACCTATTGAATATTAACCATCTTTTGATGTTTTATAGATGAGAACAACTGAGACTTAGTGAATTTAGGTAACTTGAACTGTCAATAGTAACAATAATTATAATAATAACCTACCCAGGTTAAAAAATAACATTGAAGACCAATACGACAGCTTTTGCTGTTTTTTTTTTTTTTTTGAGACGCAGTTTCACTCTTAACTTGCCCAGGCTGGAGTGCAATGGCGCGATCTCGGCTCACTGCAACCTCCATCTCCTAGGTTCAAGCGATTCTCCTGTCTCAGCTTCCCGAGTAGCTGGGACTATAGGCGTGTGCCACTATGTCCGCGACAGCTCTTACTTGTAGTTGTTGAGCAGTTACTATTTGCCAAGCACTGTCCTCAGTGTTTAAAGTGTAATAATTTGGCCGGGCGTGGTGGCTCACGTCTGTAATCCCAGCACTTTGGGAGGCCGAGGCAGGCAGATCACGAGGTCAGGGGATTGAGACCATCGTGGCTAACACGGTGAAACCCCATCCTTACTAAAAATACAAAAAATTAGCCGGGCGTGGTGGCGGGCGCCTGTAGTCCCAGCTACTTGGGAGGCTGAGGCAGGAGAATAGCGTGAACCCAGGAGGCAGAGTT